GACATCCAGCACTTTGTAGAGAAGGTCGTCTTCCGCCTGCACGAGAGCTTCCCCAAACCCAAGAGAGGTAGGACGGAGCAATAACGACACGTAAACATTCACACAACCACACATTTTCATTCTCTGCTAGTTTATTTTGAAATTCCACACAGTGAAAACAGCCGGCGATTTAAAAGAAAAGGAAACGGTTTTGTTTTTCACTCCTTTTTGTGATTTTATACAGATGACACATTTCTTCCTGTTACATGTGACACGTGAGAAATTAATCAGATTTCTAAATGTTGAAATGAGGTTGTTTGTTGGAGGTCAGAGTGAGGGCAGGCACGCAATCCTATCAGAATAAAAGCATGCTTCTCACTAGTTTGCACAAAGATAAACTGTACCGCTGTGACAGCCCAGTAGGAATATTGTTGTAATTAATTTAGTCTTTACGCCAATAATTAGTCCACTATCATTTAATGCTAAAAACATGCAATCCTATCAGAATAAAAGCATGCTTCTCACTAGTTTGTGCCGCCGTTTTGTTTTTGCATCCCTTTAAATTAAGTAATGTGAAAATATACGGGCATATTGTGATCTCGACAGAGTTTGTTACAGTCGGTGGTTTATTTATTTTCTTTATTGGGGGTTAAAAACATATTTGTCTCTCTGCAGTATGCAAGGAGCCTCCGTACAAAGTGGAGGAGTCGGGCTACGCAGGTTTCCTCATGCCTATTGAGGTTTACTTCAAGAACAAGGTGAGAATACCTGAAGGCCACCTATCGCCTGGGTTATATGTGGACTCCCTTTTGTTTTTAATGTGTTGGAATCTAAACTTTAATCTCTATAAAGTCTTTTTGTCAATTTTCAAATGCATTAGAAAATGTTAGTTTTTCTAAAAGATCATTTTTACACGTAGCTGAGCTAAAATGGTTAAAACAGGAAAAAGCAGAGATAAAAATCTGTGATGCTCTGCAGAGGCTTGCAGGAAAACTGTGGGGGTAAAAAAAAAACACTGACCGCTGCAAATAACGACACATTCGCCTCCCTTAGAGATGCATCTCAGTCTGAATGGGACTTAAGGCTGCCTTTACATTCTCACAGGAATGCAGCATATAAGGAGAAATCAGGCTTTTCCAGCAATACTCATGTTAATTGGGTTAACTCCTTAACTTGATAGAGAAAACTGGGTTTCCCTTTTACTTGATGTTCACGTAATCAAGTTACCGTCTAAACCAGGAGTAATGCAATTACTTGTGGCCGTATAAAGGCAGTGATGGTTCAGAACCCCTGGTGGAAAAATATGTACACTATAAATCAGAAGTATCAGCTCTCAATAATCACATAATTTACTAATTAAAGGCTGGGCTACTTTTTATCCTCTTATGGAAAATCAAAGGTAGACGTTAGAAAGATTAGACTGGAAGCAGAGCCCCCCAAAGCTGATAACCAGTGATTACTGGCAAGCAATTATCAAACGTGTAGTTTATTAAACTAAGTTAAGTACGCCTGTGATTTCCACTTAGATCGGCTGCACACATGTGATTATAAGATGAGCCGTTCTGGACTTGTTAGCCGTGTCTTTCTGCACGTCTAGGTCGTGGCTCCACATGACAAAGTGTTGCTGGAGGATTTGAAGTTATCATGAGATGAAAGCTTTTAATCAATAGTTCTATTAAAGAGCCTCAGGACAGCTAATCAGATCAGATTTGTGGTGGCTGTGGCCATCATGGCTGCTCTGAGAGTTTGCACAGATCCGACTTGCAAAAGACCTGCATATAAACAACATGTCATAAAAACTGCAGCAATAACCTTTGCATGAAGAGAGATGCGGCGAATATTTGGAGCACTAGATAAATTTGTTCGGTCATATCTAGAATCACAGTGTGTGCACTCTGACTGAAGCGTGGGCTGGACGTGTGATTACAGGTGACTGCACAAGTGCAAAGGCGTTAGGAAGGCGACGTTTATAGATGGTATTATTATTTGCTGCAGACCAAAACACTGGCTGCATGACTCTCGGCCTCCAGGAGCTCGTAAGAAGGAATATCCCCGATGGCTTTCAGAGTACCCGAGTGTGCTGGCTGACACTTTTAAAATATTTTACAGGGAAAAGCAACGAAGTCTTTAACCCTTTAAAGCCGGTC